CCATGAAAAACATCTTCTCAAAAATATACAATCGGCGTTCGGTGTCGGCGTAAAACTGTAGGTGCGTCCACTTTGTGCGGCCACATCAAGCCGCACGCCACAAATAGGAGGAGAAGCTTTCCCAAACACATATGTACATAACGAGCCCTAACCGCCAAAATAACGTAAGCGATATTTTTTTTCCAAATTTTCTTTTTGATGCAGAAATATTCCTAGGCCATCTAGATATACTTCTACATCAAAAACAAAATTTTGAAAAAAATGTCGCTTACGTTATTTTGGCGGCTAGGGCTCGATATTATGTTAGCGCGAATATATTATTATTATTATTAGGGTGCATCACTCCGCATACAAAAAAACATCGGTACTTTAAAACTTGCGCCAAAATACTTCGGAAGAATAGTGAAATTTTCGTGAACTGGACCGATTTAAAAATATTTCAAAAAAGTCGAGTTTTTATTAAAAAAAATTTGTTAAAAAGAATTTCATAAAAATCACCTCAGATGATAACTAGAAGAATTTAAATAGTCAGTAAATGGTTTCATAATTTTTATTTTTAATTTTTAATTTTATCAACCGAATAAAAGTAACACGATTTTTTGAAACATTTTATGTTTTCATATTTTCCCACTATTTTGGCAGAAGCCTTAATATGTATATAATAAATTTTATAATTTCGGTGCACAAACCGCCAATTTTTTTGTTTGGTGAGGCACCTTAATGTACAAATGTATGTACATATGTAATGAAAGGAAATGCCAAACAAAATCAACTCCGAGTGTAGCGTAAACGACAAATGCAAAAATTGAGTAGAGGTGTTGAAATCAAAAGTACGAAAAATACGAGAAATTTCTCCAATGTATAAATCAATGAAGAGCCATACTTTTGGCATAGCGCGAGAGTACTGCGCAGGGCCGGCTTTAGAAGCAATGACGCCCGGGGCGTAAATTGAACGAAGTGCCCTTTGATAAAAATGCTTATTACCTCGGTTTATTTTTCCTATACGATAATCAATTGCAAAAATAGTGCAAATAAAAACAAATCCACTTTTGACTACAATCAAGATCTTCAGATATCAATTGCAACAAGTTTACCTGCGTGCTTTGGCTTGAGCAAATTTTTCGAAGGCTTTCGACAAGCCAATCTGTGTAACAATCACGCTTTCGATAGATACGATAACTAAAGCGTTTATTTTTTCTTGGAACATAGCAGATCCTAGATACGTTTTGATGAGCTGCGACTTCGAAAAATGTCGTTCCCTGCTGACAACATATATTAGCAAAGTCAACAAAATCCGGAGAGAAACCCAAACATTTGGAACTACATCGAAGCCATTTTACTTGACGAAATTCGAGAACCCCCAATGGCCGTTTCATCGCTGCAGGTTTAATGCGTCTTAGGTGTTTCAATTCTTCATAAAGCTCCAATCCAATTCACTTCAGTTGTGAGAGGAGTGCTCAACACCCGACATTTTGACAGTAAAAAGGTATCATCTTCGATTGAATTTGGGGCCTCTTTCGAATGTGAGTAATAAGAAAACCGACATAGATTTTCATCGCTTTTCAATTGCTCAAACGTTTCTTTGACAGCCTCTTTTTTTGCCCTTCCATATGAAACTCAGGCACTTTCGATTAATTGTGTTTATACATACGTCAGGGCATACAGGAAGGCGGAATTTTATTTTTTTTTTTTGTATATTTGAAGTGTAAATTTGTATATGTATGTGCCTATACTTCAGTGCAAACCAAAACAAATGCGCAACAAGTGCTTATGGAGTGAGCAGCTCTGCTCTAGATATTTTTGGTAAAACTCAAAAATAATTCGTTTTCAAAATTTTAAACTCGTTTTTCTCAAAAATGTTATTTTGGTCTATGACACCCCTTTCTCAGACGCGCTCACACGCGCCTTGTGCAAGATGAATTTTTTTTTCTAGTGCGATTTAGTGAATGCAATTATTTTAGTAGAAATTTGTAACAGATGATTCCGATGTTAAGTAGCCCCAAAAATGTTGGGCTTGGGGCAAAGGCAAAGAAACGACCTATTAAAACACCGCGCTCTATAAAGGAGCGGAATACTTTCTACTGCTCAGCTAGCAATACCTATTCGGCTGGTGTTGGGTTCTCGGTGGTTTCGGGGCTAGAAAGTTTCAGAACTGTAAGACATACTCAATTCCTTTAACTCCTTTAACTCCTAGGGTTCGGTCTAATAATTATCTAATTTTGTTCCTTTTTTTATAATTGCCTTACATTTTGAGTTGTGATGTCCCATTCGCATTTTATACCAACAACAAAACGTAGTCGAAATGTATGTATGTACAAATAAGTAAATAAAAACATTTGGGTTTTCTAAAAATACTTCAGCATAGCTATTTTTAGCTCATCGATTTATCTATGTGTGTATGAATAAACAAGTATGATCCGTATGTAAATTAAATAAGTAGATTTTTAGTGTACGAAAGTGCGTATATGTATATATGTAATGTGCGCACGTTTTTCGCATACAAAGCGTGTATGTATGTATATTCGCTCCAATTAATTTTTTTTTTACCTATTTATTATTTCTCACTACATTCACAAATATTATTTTGATTGCCTTTCGAGACACATTCACTCAGCCATCTACCAAAATAAACACATATTTACATACATATCTACGCACTTACAATATATGTATATGTATGTATGCATGGGTTTTCCCGCAAGTACCGAAATTACGAAAAATGTATGAAGCAAATATAAAAATAGTGTGTTTCATAAGAAGAATCAGAAACATTGTCCAAGCAAGTAGCGGCGCGCGCCACAACGAGCGCAACTTACTCGCGGACGCATCGTCGTGATTCATCGCAACAATTCAAAGTTTGCTTGTAATTATGGCTTGCGCTTGCAGGCGCTAGTAGTTGCATATTTATATCTACTTTGACGTCACATACATATTAAAACCACTTGTCACCGATGCGATCTGGTGATTTCTTAAACGCAGCCGCCTGGATATCCGGCAATGATCATGCGGACAGCGGCTGATACAGCAGTAGCCTCGATAGATCGCACAGCAGCAACTCCGCGCGATTGACTCACACCAATTTTAATGAAAGTGGTGGAGCAGTAAATGAAAGGCGCTGGGTCCTACCGCCAAAAACCCAAAAAGATCGAGCGCGCGCGCAGCCGAGACTTACGCGCATACACCTGCGAACAGCAGCCTGCCAGCAAGCCCGCACAAATGGCACAGAGGCGCGGCTATTTGCGATAACAGTAGCGGCGGCGTGTGCTTAGCACGCGCTGCAACTTGCAAATGCAGCGCGCATAAGCCGGTCAGCTTCGTGCACTGGTCTTCGTGCCTTTCGACTTACAAGCGTCGCTCAAACTTTGAGCGCGCTGTTGCTTGTGAGCATAACCAATTGAACACAAACAATGTAATCGTTTATAGTAAAACTGAGCGCGCGCGCGCGCTAATATGTTCATAGTATATATGTAGGCAAGTTTGCAAGTTTGGCGCGCGCCAATAAGCCTGTATATGTGTGCGCACTTTTAATGAAACGCTTATGGTATTGCTGTCCGTTCGATTATTGGTAGACTGGGTGGGCTAGCGCGCGCACACACACACACACACTTACAGACGCACTAGCCGCCCAGTGGGATTGTGTGCGTGTGCTACGAGCGTAGAATAAATCTATGCTGCGCATATAAGCGATTATATTGTGCTTTAGTACACAAGTGCTATTTTAGTTTGTATTAAAGAGTGTCGTTGTTTTAAGCGCTCGCATCGACGCGTATTACGATGGCAACGCGCGCAATGAAGAGAACGGTAGCTGACGCTGCTGGCGCTAGCGTTGACTACAATGTCAACGTAGACTTGTGATGGGCAGCGCAGGCAGAACTCCATAACAAAGTGCAAAAGTTTTGCTGCCCAGGCCTGACGTAGACGCAGCTGCTATTAAAATCACGACTGGGATTCCTTTATTATTTTCTTATTTCGCACGCCGTTAATGCACTTCTAACCCCCCCTCCTTTCACACCCTTCAATATCCCTAGCGACATATACTTTTTATCGTTACATATTAGTTATGCTGCTTAACGCCTTCATTCAATTGTTTGACAAAAAACGCGCTCTGAAGTTAACACCTTTACCGTGAGCCAAGCTGAGACATGCGCAGCCACACACAATTGATAAAACAAAACGATACAAAGTTGTTAGCTTACGCGCTCACTATTGGTCAAGATCGTATTTTTAACGATTATATCAAAAACTCAATGCTGTCGTTAACTGAAGCTTTTGGCGGTGGCTGACGCGAACGCGGGCGCTCTCGCTACACTATGCGCGTCTTCTACAGTTGACGTCGCGCCACTTGCTGCAGGCGCCGCCAAGACGCTGCCTAAGCCTGCTGCCACTGCCAGTGCCACTGCTGCTGCTGTATGCATACATAGGTGTGATTCTCTCTGCGAGTATGGACACGAGTGCCTATGTGTGTGTTGCCGTACGATTATCGTTGCGTTGCGACTTTATTCATACGCCAGTCGGTCTCAAATAAAAGGCAAGTTATTTTGAGCTTGCTTACAATCAGAATTCAATAGCGAACTTGTGAAATTGAAAGGAGATCGCGCGCTATAAATCAAAAGAAATTTTGATATAATTAAGAGCTTTTGAAATAAAACCCAGTAAAAGAAGTATTAAGTAAAATATATGAAAAAAAACGCCTAACTATTTATAAGCGCGCTTGAGTTCTGTTCTCGCAACTCGGCTTACTCCGCTTAAAGCATTTTACAACAGTATTTTTTTGTGTGACTAAAAAGTTGTAGATTAGAAAATACCAGCTTTTCAAAACTTTGCAAATTTCAAAAGAGATAATAGTTTGCTTGGAAATTGTGAAAATTGTGAAAAAAAACAACGCGTGCAAGTCCACTGCAACTTAAAAAGCGCACATTTATTTTCTTGGCCAGCTCTGTGATAAACGTAAAGAAATTTTCGAAAATCGAATATCAAACAGTTTAAAACTCTTTACCAAAATGTATCGGCCACAAGTGTACAATAGCAACAACCATAACATTAATAGTTCATTGGATTGTACTGAATCGCGCACAGTACGCACAATAAATACAAAACAAGTGCAACAACAAAAACAGCATAATCACGCCAGTTTAGTGCACAGCAGCGCCAATGTGCAATCTACAGCTGATGTTACGCATTTGTGTAATGCCAATTTCACCATTGGAAATACAAACAATTGCAATGTCACCTGCCAGCGCTTGCCAGCGATGAAAGCTGCAACAGACACCCTCACCGCCAACACATTAACGGCAATGCAAAGCGCGCGGCTAAGCGGCAAAACGCGCTCATCGAAAAGGGTAGCGCTGAAGAGTAAGTCATGGAAAAATTAAAAAAATTTAAATATATGACAAAATTCGAATTATTCTAAAAAAAACAATAGTCTAATATGTAAACAAATAAAGGACCCTTATGTATAGTATGTATAAACAGATACATTCATATGTAAGTGTGCATGTGCTTTGGTTATGTTTTGCGGCGCGAATGATTTGTGTATTCACTTTTAATAATTATTTCGGGTTTTTAAAATGACTAGACTTTGGTGAGATTATTCATCTTCTTAAGCAAAAAAAAAAAAGCGCGGCGCTAAACTTGTTTATTCCGTTGCTGGCAATTGAATTACAAAATACAAAAAAAAAGTAAAAATTGGAGAAACCAATTTCGAAAAAACCACCTGCATGCTAAATTTATTTTTCATTAGAAACTTTGGAGAATAAGAAACGCAACATTAAATGCTTTTGAATTTTAATAGCTTAAAATCACGTAAAAGAAATTATGTCCTTTTAAGTACTAAATATCAAAAAAGTAAACCTAGAAATTTTTCAACATAAGTTTTAAAATATTTAAGTAAAGTTTATCAGTTTGAACAAATTTGACAAAGGTTAAAACTATAAATATTTCTTTGGGAAATCTGGGCTCAAATTGTTGAGTGGAAAATTTAAAATATAAATTTGTTTTTATGCTTTTACTATATATTTGTAAATTTACTTTAATCTCTTTATAATAAAAAACGATGAAAAAACTCAGTAGCACTAAAACTTTTTTTTCAAATGAAAAAGGAAAAGATATTTTCTTTTAGTTTTGGCGTGTAAACCAATTTATAACAGATTTAAAAAAATCTGAGTTTTTTAATTCCTGAGTTAAAAGCTCAATATTCTAACTAATTTTTGCGGTTTTGTGTTAATAAAATTTTTGAAACAAAATTTTAATTTTTTAGTGGGGAAAACTATTCTGATTTTAACAGCAATAAAAGTTTTTTTTTATATTTCCTTATTAAATAAAAGTTCAAAAGAGTAATCATATATATTTTTCGCAACAAAAGTTGAACAAATTTATAAAAAAAAACTTTTTTATAAAATTTAATTTTTGAATCCAAAAAGTAAACACACTTTATGAGCACTAAAAAGTAAAATAGAAAAAAATGTTGTTTTTGTCATAAAAAAATTCGAAAAGTAATCTTATAAGTTAATAAATATTTTCCTTTGAAACCTTTACGGAAATTTCTGAGTTAAAGCTTAATAAGATACGATTATATTATTAGGAAAATATTAATTAAGAAAATAATTTTCAAGATGAAAAAAAATATTTGGTTTAAAAAGCTAATTTAAAAAATTTCACAATATTATTGAATTTTTCGATTATAAAAGCTTTTAAATTTAATTTTCGTAAAAAAATTAATTAAATTGATAAATTTTGAGCTTCATACTTTTCTTACAAAAAAAACATTCCTTAAAAGGTTTGGACAGAAAAAAAAACAAACAAAAAAGTATAAGAGAAAGAATTATTTCTCAGAAATTTATCATTGCCTTCCTAAAGACATTTTTTAACAAGCTAATTTCTTTACCGCTGTCAGTGGACAAACAAATATCCCCGAATTCACAAAGTCACTAAATTTCCTAGAGAAAAACCACCAAAAATGCATCAACTGTTCACACATACCATTTTCCAATAAGAACCACAGTGAAATTCCGAAATTGCACAGTACTCCTGCAATTTATAATTCAAAATATATCACAAGAATTGCAAATAAAATACATACATATGTGTGACTTTTGCGGTCAATTTATGTGGGTTTATGCTGGGTCTGCGGTCTTTAGTAAGTCTGTTGGACGACCTTATAAAGCCCTTAGAGGCAGTTGGTTCAATTTGAAGCCTTTTCATTTTTCTAAAGTATTGCCCATCGAGAAGCGACCGGTTTGTCACTTACAAACCAAATTTGACAAGGGATGACAGAAAATCGTTCCATAATACTCGTTCCATAGTATTCATTCGAATTTATGCTTATTTTGGTATATACGTTAATTTACGTTTTAAGGGTTATAAAGACGATATTTTTAAATCTGAGGCAAACAAAAAAATTTGCTAAAAAAATTTAATACATAAATTTACTTTGTATGTATGCTCCTTAAAAATATTTACGCCGAAAAAGAATTTTAGATAAATTATGTATTTACATACACGCATATGTATGTATGTACATATTTATTTTTTTGCTAATATAAATTTTCTGAATGTTATTCATTATTAATTACCAAAATAATTAAAGTTAAGTAAATTTGTGAGATTTCTGCACTTAAGTGCAGAATGCAGATAATTATAAAAGCGAAATAAATTTTCTTACGTTTGTTAAATTTTTATTTGAGTCTATTTTTATAAAAAAAAATATTTAAATATTATTTCAAAATATTTGCAAAAACAAATCTGGAATAAAATAAGCAAAAAATTTTGTTTGAGCATAAAATAATTAAATTTTTGTATAGAAAAAAAATATTTTTTCATTCTATTTTAAAATTACATATATTTGTATTAAACAAATTTTTCTAAAATTTCTTGTTAAAAATAAAATTATTTTATTAAAAACTAAATTTAGAAAATTTGTGTACAAGAAATTAAAAAAGCATGTGTTATATACCAAATTTTTAAACAACCCCTAAGTAAAACTTTAAAACTAAAATGTGTTTTTTCAACTTAAAAATTATAAGAAAAAAAGTATGATGCCACTTTTAAACTAAATAAGTAACGAAACAAATTTAAAAACAATGCTATGAAACATAATATGTCTTATCCTGAGTTTCGCACCAAAAAAAAATGCACCTGAAAATTTTTCACGTAATGTGTTTTATCTTCTAACCTGACTACTCTTCCAGAGAAAGCAAACCTTAGTCCATTTCAATAAAATGCACACGATTTTTTTTTTCATAAATTTAAGGTCCCCTATCAGCCTTTCGATTAGCCTTCCTTCCTTCAGGTTTTTCTCCCTACAATATTAGCACAATTTCTTTAAATTCTGTCTTCACGCAAGGCTGGCGCATGCCAACGCCTACAATCTGTCACATTTGGGTTATATCTTAGCAAATAACACCATAACGCCTCAGATCAATCCACAAGCACACAATCACTTAGTGCTCAATATCTACTCTTCCTTTCCTCACATATAATTAATTATAAATATATTTTTATATCAGGCATCTAAAAGTGTTCATAGTCCGTATGTATGTATGTATGTATGTATGTATGTACGTACATATAATATTTATTAGCTTCATATTTTTTTGGTATCTAAGAGTAACCCGCCTTACACGCTTTTCAATTGCTGCCCTATGCAAGCCAAAGAAAAATCGAAAAGGTGGATAATAAAAGTAGATATTGTACATATATATTCTCTTAATTAATAACAAAATGACAATAGTATAATTGCAGTCAATTATATACATAATTATAAAGCAAAACAGATGTTAGACAAATGAAAAAATAGGTATGTGTTATTGAGCTTATTGGGGAGCCAGCAGGATATTCTTGAATGATTTTTACTTTACAGGTCAATGCGCAACCGCCCACTCGCATTACCGTAGCTATTGCAAATTGTTAGCGATTGATACAGCACCACAACAACAACAACAACAACAACAACAAGAACAAGTCAACGCGAGTGAGTGTTCAATGAAACTAATTAATGAATGAAAATTCATTAGAATGCTGAATGCAACTAAATGTTGATGAGCGCATGCTGTAGGTGAACGCGTTTACACACACAGATATGATTACGTTCAAATATTTATATTTACATGAGTGGCTACAGGTGCGTGCTACCATTTCGCACGACCTGTGTATCGAACACCTAGTCCAAGCAACATCTAAATAAGAGCAGAATTTTGTCTAATAGCGCTCGCTCCTCGCAACGGCAAAGCTCCGGCTGTAATTCTTGTATGAAAAAGCTTCGTATGAAATCCATTTGCCGTTCGGAGGCGGCGTAATACTGTTGGTTAGATACTCCATGTCTGTAACAACATCAAGACGCACGGAGGAGAAGCTCGGCCAAACACTTAGCAAAATATTATAATATTTGATTCAAACATATGTAACAAAACATAGCAAGAAGTCTTAAAGCAGTGTCACACGATAGACCTCCACATTAATGTTTAGAATGAGGGGCTTTTAAAATGAGAGTTGCTAGGCCTTATCTCTTTTGACTGTTAAGGATTCGCAAAGGAGTAAAATAGGAATGAGTAATAAGGAAGATAGGTCGAACTTCAAAACAGTGTGCCTCAAGGTATTTAAACTTTGATTTGCCCGTGAAGAGAAATTGTCGGCCCCTTTAAATTCCAAGGTTTTGGGCGCCCACCTTTTTACATAGCAACAGAGCAAATGTGGCCCAGAAGCAATATCTCTATGGCCTGGGAGCCAAATGAGCTTATTAGCAAAGCAGTTTGATGCCGCCGAGAGGAATGTCTGAATACTTCCAGACAATTTTCGAGCGTAACATCAAAGTGTCAAATGTATGTGGGAAAACACTGCAGCGATTTGGTAGCCTTATACCAAGTCCCCACCAAAAAGTTAACCATCTCAAATCGAACTTAACCACATCACTAACTATTGCTGTCCACACTGCGGTTTGAGGTTTATAAAACAGTACAAATGCAGAGAACAGTGTTCGGAGCTCAAAAACTCGATTCAGGACTAAATCGCTGCAAAAATCGGGGCAAAAGCAAATTTTCCGTATTAGATTGAATATTTTATTTTCGTTTCCTACATTAATTGTTTGACTTAAATGTTTTCTATTCATGCAAAATAAGAACGCGAGGCAATGCAAGGATTGCATATTTAGGTAATTTTTTTTCTATAAAGTAGAACATTTCTAACACTTAATTTTTTAAAGAGCAACAGGATCTAAACCTTTTCTACTTTATATAAATTTCATTCTACATATAGTCGATGTTTTTGCAAAACCGCCCATCGCCCAGTTGCAAAACCGCCTATCTTACGGCACTAAAATTTTACAGGAGAGCTAATAAACCATTTATTGTTTGAAGGCATTGCAATGATAGGCGGTATTTTCTCTAGCTATTATTTTACAAATCTGTTGTTTTAATAACGATTTACCGATTTTTATTCATTTTGCCACAACGGCGATTTAGGCGGTTTTGCAACCGGTCGATGGGCGGTTTTGCAAAAACATCGACGATATATTTCTTAACAATTTAAGTAACGTTCTGCATCCGCCAAATTCTACAACCATACATCAAACGGGGTTACTTTATTGACGCATTGGTATGAAAGAATTACTTATTAACAGTGAGATTTGGCTAACTTTCATTTTTTTTACTGAAACCGGTGGTGAACACTTAAAAAACGGCCTTAAGAGGGGTATAACATGAATGAAAAAAAAAGATGGAATAGATTTGAAGTCAAGCGGAGTAGAGGAGTAGATTTCAATTTTTTCAAAAATCGGAGTAAATCTGATCTGATTTAGTGAAGTCCAAACACTAGTAGGGAACAAATTTTTTACATTTTAACGCTAATGACCAACAGATGGCGGCAAAACACAGGGTTGTATCAGACTTTCGACGTGGTTTCGAGTTGGTTAGCTTTTAACCATCTCAGTGAAATGGTTAAATGCTGTCATTTTTATATGGCGAAACTACGCTAAATGAAGTGGGTTATCGTGATAACCAACTCACGTGATTAGCTCCGGTGTGGACATGGTATTAGAGGTTGATGAAGTTTTCTTGATTTTATTTGTTTACTTTCATAAATGTTGTGCTTAAAGATTCTTGTAAACAATGGGAATACTTCTCATGAGAATAGGAATTAATTCTCACCGTCTAATGAGTAATGAAATTTCGTATTTTACCAGTATAAGAATGTATTCTTACTTATTTTTATGAGAATTACTCTTCTCGTTTACGCGAACCTTAAGTAATCGATGTATGGATAAAGTAATTTTTTGTAAAAAAATTATTAAAATTTTGTTTTTGTACTTAAAATTACTTAAAAATTATTTTTGGCCAAAATTGAATTTTTCGTACCTTGAAAATGTTATAAAAACATTCAGATCCAGAAATTTGAAAGAAACTAAAGGTTAAGGAAATATTAAAAAAATAATAAAAAAAAATAAAAATTTCGTGGAAATTAAAAAAATTTTAAGATCTTTTAGTTTAGTTACTTTGGATAGTTTTATTGAAAAAAAAATGTTTAAATCAATTTTATTCATTCAAGCTTTTACACACACACACACTACTATTCAACTAATAAAAAAAGTCCGCTTGTAAAGCGCATTCCGTAGTCGCGATCACTACATACTTGCTCGCTCATGCTCATATTATCGATTAATTGGCCCGTCGCAGTTGCGGCCGCTTTGTTTAGAAAGTGCTGCTTAGACCTCACACGATGATCATACATACACCACACATTGCAAGCGTGCAACCCACAAACAAAACGAGCAAACATATGTTTGTATGTATGTAACTAACTACTATCTCTCACCAAGATCACTCTACTTTGATATCGAACTGTTTAATAATTAAGGATAATTAGCAAATTTCTAATGCTCAGCTATGGCTGGCCAACACACACAAGCGGGCGGACAAATGAAAATTGCAGTCGACGCATGCGTGGTATGCATTTTACACGACAATTCCTGCAGCAGTGCTGGCATTGCCATTTTGTTACCACCAACCAGCAACAAATGTCTATTGGTGGCGGTATTTGCCTTGATCTTGAATTGCCCGCCTAAAGAGATTAAGTCTAAGTTTGTACATATGTATGTATGTCTAGATTCGATCATCTATTAAGTGCGGGGCATGCGTACAGAAATATACCGTACATCTACACATGCATAGATATGTACATATCCAAAGCGATGGCATTCGATCGATCGATCAATCGATCATGCCGCATGCCACCGTGCTAGCCTAACTACTTTGTGACAACTTGAGATCTTTAAAACATTCTACAAATTATTATGTGCGCGCATGCGCCGCACTAATTGCGCACAAGTACGCAAAGTACAACAAAAAAACATGCGCACGAAAAAGTGTGCATTTGCTGCACTGCGTCTATGAGTAGCTAGCGAAGATCAGCTAATGTTTATTTTTATTTTTATTTTTTATTTATCCATTAACTGTCACAGCTAACATTACTACATACACGTGTACATACATACATACATATGTATGTGTCTATTGCATTAGCTTTTAAGCTGTTACAGTGTGCGATAATTACGCAGCTCTCATTGGCGCTTAGTGCAGTTGGCCAAAGAGGTCCCCCAACTATAAGTGTGTGTATGTATGTGTACACGGCTTTTACCTTTCGTGAGCATGTGTATGCATCATTTTGCTTTTGTATTTGTGTAACTACTTATGTGAATGTATAGGTGCGTTGTGTGCTTGGCTAATAGTGCAGGTGGGTCGTGAAGTTGAAAAGGCAAAGTGCTGAGCAGCTTGGATTATTTAAATGCACTTAAAAATGTATAGATGTGTACTTACATTAAGGCGTATCACGAAAAAAAGTTTGGCTCGTCAGTTTTATATAAATATTTACATATGTACGTCGAGAAAAAAATTTTTTGTGTATTTTTTTTTATGCATCCCCTATAACTTTCTAATTTGTTAACCGGACTATAATCGAATAAAGCCTAACGCTTTTTAGCAAGGTCATCATCGTTTTTTAGCAGCTTTAAATGACAAAACCTACCTTTCTACCTTTGCTTGATGAAGTTAAACGAATAACCGACGCGTTCAGATACAAGTAGCCGGTCACTTAAGCACAAAAATGTGAAGTGACTTATGCCACTTAAAAAAAACGGCTCACATATCAAATTTAAATAGATATTAAATTAAATTTTAAAATTCTTTTTTTACTAAATTTTAAATTCGTCTTCTCTTTACAGCATCCGTTGCATTCCTGCCCATCATTTGCTTTGCCATACTCGCGCTTGTCTCCGGTGCTTCAGGTCGGTCTATACGCGGCCGAAAGCTTCTTCATACGCTCGAAAATCGTATGCTTCATCATAAGAATCTGTTGCGCTACGAGAGCGAAATTGCGCCTGTACAAACTGCACCAGTACATCATCGCCATCATTTAAATACTCGTTCTCTGGATATGAACTGCGCGAAGGTGGTGGAACATATCTCCATGTTGAGAAAACAAGCGCGCACATCTTTTAATGCACTTAATAATTTTGTGTATAAGAAATTCGTAAGTAAATTTGTATAAACTGATTGATATGAGAAATTAGAACTACATACATACATACGTTTTGGCAAAATTCAAAACCCCAATAAATAAACTCTAACATTTCGCCTTAGCTTTCTAAACATTTTATATACGTGTAGAGCGATTCAAAGAAACCCTTGAAAAGCTTTGTATGCGAAAAATTCTGTGCTCGTCAGTGTTCTATGGTCATCTATTAATGATGATTAGAGAGTTTTTTCTCGGCACGCGCCCATTTTGGACGCGACTGTAGACCAGCAGAAGAAGCTTTCTCACATTGTAAAAGCTCTCTCTGGTCATCGTACTCTCTCTGGTACTGGCCGTCACAGATATAAACAGGTGCAGTGACTGCCAGAGAAGCCTTTTTATAGAACGCGGCTATTTATAACAGTCTTGACAGCTTTGTAAAGTAAACGTTTTTTTTAATATTTATGATCTATAAAGAGCCGATCTGCTAAATTTTAGTTGTGACTATCTTCAATTAAACGTTATATGCATTTCATTGCAATCAAAATTTTCTTAAGTTTTAAAGCATTTTTGGTTTTAAAGTTTTTCAAGGTTCAAGCTTTTGAATTATTATGTAAGGTTTTTCTTTTTGGAGCGCTGGAAAAGCACATATGATAAGCCCTTTTAGATCACCATTGGTTTAATATACCATGCATTTTACTTCTGTTTACAACTGTTTTAAATTAAATGCTATGTGGATTTCAATACAACAAAAAAAAAGAAAAACTGCAGGCTTTTAAGCTTTTTGGTTTAAAAGTTTTCAAAATATTGAGCTTTTTCTAATGCTCTGCTCACGGTCCTCATTTAAGTTGCGACTGCTTGCAATAAAGCGGTATATGAGTTTGATTCAAGGCAAAATTTGTTAAGCTTTTAAGCTTCAAAGCTTTTTTGATTTTTAGCTTTCCAAGATATCCAACTATTTTTAATGTTTTAGTTCCTACTTCAAATAAAATTTTTTTGCATAACAATCAAACTTTTTGCAAAAGCTTTAAAGGTTTTTTATTTCCAGAGTTTTTAAAGACATCAAAACACTTTTTGGCATTCTAATTTTACAATAAAATCGTGCTTCCTTTTTGAATATTTCAAATGCCCTCCTATATACACATTTCCAACGGCCTTCGGTTTCTTAAAAGCCTTTTGCAAACCTTTCAAGCGGAATTTAGCCTATTCCTAATATGGAGTTTAAGAATTTTAATTAATAAATAGTTGCTTACGTTCTGCAATCATTTAAATAATCAATTTCTCATCTCTTTTCAGACCGAACCACGCTTCAATCTCACACCAGAAATAGCATTAGAAGAATGGAGTAAATACAAATTGAATTTATCACATCCCTATACAAAGTTAATGGATCGTGAATTCACCAAAGAAAAGGTCCATCATGACATAAGTCATTTGGAAAATGGAATCACAACTTTGAATGAAAAACTGGTTAGCATCGCAAATACATATTTAATTGGACGTCTCCAATACGTTCCTTAAATCTGAAGCCTAAATAAATGCACTTACAAATAAATCATAAACTAATTATTCCATATTTTCCCTCTCTTTATCTGCTTCTTATTATTATTATTTTAGATTCAAACTGAACTGAATAAAATTTATAAAACTATCCGAATGTTGCAAGTTATTCATAACCGCACCTATAATGCGCTCGATAAGAAATGGCAAGACGACGCTTACAAAAATGTAACACAATACCTCAATCACACGGGTAGTCACCTCAGTGCTAATATAAAGGCTACAAATTCTGTGATTGCAACGCTCAATGTTGCATTGGAAGACTTTGATGAAAATAGCATCTCTTACAATGAAACGGTGCAAGTGTTAGATTGGTTGGTAGTTGCCGAAAGTATCAGCTTCTTTCAATATCTCGATAAACTCTATGAGAAATTGATGGAAATGTGCAGTGCGCCAAGATATTTACACGAAGGAAATATGTAAATAAGGATACTATGGTATAAATACATACCTACATACATAAGCCTAAGAGGCCGTCGTCACACCGTTTCAGCGCAAACCGGGCCAATGTGGATGCCATGCAAGGAGCAAGAGATGCGGATGGCGTTGCTTAATAACGGGTTGTGAGTGAATTTGGATGTGCTATTTTTTATTTTATTTTTTATTTTTTCAGCTAGAGACTATATATGTACACGCATACTTTATTTTTATTCTGAGTTTGCCAAGCTTTTGCTTTTTAATCATGACAATACTTTACTACTTACTTACTATGTATTACCTTTATTAATAATTTTATTTGAAAAATGTGTTTTAAGCGCAGCTGGTGACAGACTTGATGGTGTTGTTTCGCTAAAAAATATGTTTCGACTTAATTGCATTGAAAATTTTAAAGAAAAAATAAAATAAAATATAAAATGAAAATTAAATAGAGAACAAACAAAAAAAAAGAATACATATGTTGTGTCTTAGTAAACAATCATATTATTAAATACATACACTGCCGTAACAAAGTATTGGCACAGCAAATTTTTCACAACATATGCAACAATTTTTATTCTAATATTTTTCCGCCAATTTTGTATAAAAATATGTTTCATTCTACAAAAAAAAAACAAACATAAAAATATAATTCCTAAACTTTGTGCAAAACTTGCGAAAATTCAGCAAATTTTCCGCTTTTTAATCAGATTTTTTAGAATTTTTTTTGGGTATGCAGATTTCTAGTCCAATCAATTTTATTATAATAAAGTACAAGTTTTTTTCACACAGTCTCTTCCATACATTAAAATTTTTTCGAAAATACTTTATATGGAAAAAATGCAAAACAGCTTCAACAAAAAAAAAATTGTCAAAAATCAATGCAATTTTTGACTAACTCCGAACTTGCATTTTTTTACTACATAGAGTTTAATTGGTTGTAAAACTGAGTACTCAAAAAAATCTAGAAAATCTGATTAAAAGGTTGAAAATTTGCAAGAACATTTGCTGAATTTTCGCGAGTTTTGCACAAAGTTTAGGAATTATATTTTTATGTTTTTTGTTGTAGAATGAACAAATTTTTTTTACAAAATTGGCGAAATAAAAATTGTTCCCTACATTGTGAAAAATTTGCTGTGTCAATACTTTGTTCCGACAGTATACATATATGTATATGTAAATAAAATCTCAATAGAAGCGAACGTGTTAAGTGGTTGGCAGCCCTAGGCATGAGAAGGCGCAGACAAAATTATATAAACAATGCGTAGACTGCATAAATAAAAGCGGAATTTAAGAGTAGTATTTTTTGCTTTCTTTTATGATTTCCGTTTTTGTGTATTCGAATAAATAAAAAAATGTATCTATGTATATCGAGCGCTTATATTCAATATGACCTACATACCTGCTCTTTATATACAAAAATTCCTTTTTGATGTTAGAACTCTTTTGAGGCTTAACTTTCATCAGTGGTCGCAATTTTAATTCTGTAAATACAGTAGTTAATTCTTCTGAGAGGCGATGACAGTTAAGTCTAAATTATTTTTGTGAAAAACCGCAGTTAGATCATATCGAATATAAGCGCTCGATATGTATTCATATCTTTAAAGTCTGCTCATCTCAAATTTCACACAATCTCTATAAATGCAAATTTGTTTACAAGTACTCCAAAACGATTATTGCAAAAAAAAAACACAAAAATCTGAACAATGTAACGCAAGCGAATAGCATTCACATGTACATATGCATTATGTTACTTAAGATTACCAATGATAATTACAGCCAACTTCACGAAAGCAATTTCAGTGAAAAATTATTTTTTCTCTTCTGCCATTTCTCATATTCAATTCGAAAATAATACTTAATTTTTCATTTAATTGGCTTTCGTGAAACTGGCTATTCGAATTTTATTTATATATAACATTTTATTTATCTATTTATTTATTTATTTATTAATTTTATATTACATATATATATATATATACATACATTTATTATAAACATAAAATAAACTGCGTAGTTATTTATAACAAAAAAATGATATTTGCTGTAAAAAGTAAAAAATAAAATATATTGCCATCAAATCATTACAACTAACGATATCAATAACACACATTATATACAGAAATGACTGACTACTCAAAACAAAGTGGAACTTCAAATAGCATGACATAAAATCACATTTCAATACGACACTATAGTATACATACATACGTACATACATATGTATGCTTGAACCAATGTAACATCACATGTTTCGTGCTATTGGCATATTATGATTATGTTATAAAATTATAGCATTTGTAACTTGCTAAAACAGAAACTACATTATATCAGAAATCAGACATCACTTGATGAACTTCAACAGTAAAAACGTAATAGTATGCACAACGTTTTATGCTAGCAATGTATGTGTGATGTCATGATCATATCATGTGATGACAGGAGGTTGAAGTTAAATCGCATTCTATGTATCGCTCTTCATATGATTTGACACTATAGCGTATGACGTCTCATGATGAAATAGAATTGGTGTCTCATCACAAGTTGGCCCTCAACATCATACGATGATTATCAAGCGATAATATCATATGATGCTTCATCGCATACTGGAATTGATGTGCCGAAAAATTTTACCACCTCGTGTTGGCATTCTAACGAATGATGTCTCATCGTGTATTGGCATTGATGTGCCATCACTTCTTACCACACATTGCCCTTTAGATATCATGTGATGTAACACAATGCGTGAACTTACATACATATGTATGCATATATAAAGAAGTCATAATAAAATATTATTTTCATATTATAAAATTAAATCACATCACATCACAAGATATGATGGCATAACACACAGTATTACCATGATGTTTTATCACATGCGCCATTATGACGTATGAATAATACACGCTGCATAAGACTATAATTTTAAAAACAAAGGCCAGACATAATATCTTTCGACATGACATCAAATTAGTTGCTATAATTGGAAACATCACAACATGGCTTGACGTGACATTGCATCAAACGATTATAAATGTACTTACAAATGACGGCGTAGCATCGACCGTTGACACCGAACTGACACCTGCAGGCGTATTTATATGTACTTACAACTGCATTTATCTGGATATGTATATTTTTAGGAATCATAGAATCTGGACTACATACATACATACATGTGTATGTAAAAGATATTTAAATTTTATTTTTCCCAAAAGTTTAATTTTAATATTACATAATGTTATCGGATAATACGCGCATGCCAGCAAATAAAAAAAAATATTTATTAAATAAAACCTTATTATTTATTAATTCGATTTGTACAAAATATTTTTATGTACAACCATATATAGCGATTTGTATGTATGCTGTTTAAATGGCAACAACAAATACTTGCAAATACTAAATTTGGATGCAACTAAATATAAAAAAAAAATATTAAAAAATTTTCAAACTGTATAAATTTATGTATTAGGACAAAATAGTAATAAAAAAATATATGGCTATGTGTACTTAAGACAAAATAGAACGGAAAAAAATAAATCCTTAAATGTAAAAAAATTTATAAAAAGACTCACTTAAAAAACCCGTAAGCCCGGGGATATTCTGAAAAAAGCCAAAAACCTTTACTCATCATCATGATAATTTAAAAAGATATTTATTTGAAACATATGCATTTAAAATAAGTAAATACAAGATCATAACGGTAATAATTTTTGTAACATTTTTTTTTGTATATTCTTAGTATGTGACAATACTTTATTTATTGCAAATATATCTAATAGCAAATTAAAATCAAATTATTCATTGTGTTTTCTTGTTAAAAACAAAAGAAATTCAGTAAAACTGAAAGAAAATGTTAAAAAAAATATAAAAGAACTTCTGCCAACTTAATTTAATTTAAAAAAGAATTAAAATGTATATTTAAAATTTTAAAAACAAATATTATACCTAATAAATAATTATGATAAATTAGAAGAAGCACACTTATGTACATATCTATGTATGTCCAAGAATTTGAAAACACTAAAATATGATAACCCTAAATGCCAAAAGTAATTGTAAAAATTGTAGATACATTTAAACTTAAAATTCAATAAATCGAATTAAAAAGTAAAATATATTTAATTGCTGGCTTTTATTCAGAAACATTGTTGTCGTTTTGGTAATTTTGTTTACCAAAATTGATTATTTTCTTCTTTCTTTATCAAATTTGGTAATTTATTTTTCAGTTTGTTAGTTTTTTCATTACTTATGTGATACATGATTGTTCAGTAGATTAGATACTCCCCTCATATATGTAGGTCAATGCAGGCCCATTCTGTTTATGCATTAGCAAGTTGCCCGTAAGAGTCTTCATTGGGAAATATATTTATTTTTTCTTTAAACTTAAGAGCAACGCGCATCGCGCTTTCTGTTGTAGAAAGACCAGGTATTCTGACATGATTCACAGGGCGAAAAGTTGATCCAGCATTTATTGGCTACTAGAATGGTTTGATCTCTAACAAAATTTTTAAAAGTGGCTATTGCTATACCTGCCATGTACTTTTGCGAAAGGTTGTGTGAGGTCATCTAATTGACAAGAAAAGGTTAATTCGTCAGCTTTGAAATTGAAGATCGAGTAGCCTCATAAAAATATCGAACTATACCAAGCCGTTGGATCTCGGCGGCCAACTAAAATTGCACCTTAAGAAATTATGCGTTGGCCAGCTCTCTAAATAGTTCCATAAAATAACGAGCTGTTCTCACACTGGGTACCAGGTCACTCGTGAGTACCTGGTAATGAGATACCTGATTATATGGCAAGAGAGGGCTCGGTCCAGTTATTCCACGGTCCGCAAGTAGTTATAGCCTACCCACCTTCGGTCATCGAAGCCACAGTTGGTAACTGGGTGAATTCTTTGATAGGCTACGAAGCACTACAGGTGGGCTAAACTCATGTTGCCCGCAATCTTAGAGGGTCTTGCTAGGTATTTGCTTTCATTAGCAGACAACTTGTGGAA